CAACATGTTTCTGCATTCCATGAAGCATAAGACATTTTGAGAACGTCACGAGAGTCTGCAAAAAAGTTGTAACTTTCTCTAATCTTGGCAGCATTCTATCGGCTACCGGTGTTTAAGGCGCTCTAGACAGCAACTTTAAAGCCATCTTGCCATCAGATGACACAAGTTTCGGTCCGCCAACCAGCGCCCCGGAGACCGTTCAGATCATCGGTTTGACTAAAGACTCGCTGAGAGCAGGTTCGAGTGAATCGAACGAGTCGAATCCGCTCCTCTTCACCAACAACGCGAATCAGCTGACGACACTGACGGCGATAACGTTGACCACCAGCTCAACTTATCTGGTCGGCTCTTGCCGACTTCCACGACCGTCACGATGTCGAGGCGGTCGTCAGTCGCGCTTCGCTCAGCAGCGTCAATCGAATGCGTCCGCAACAGCGGATTAGGCGTCAAATGCTCCGAATGGACTGTTTTCAAGGCTCCATCGGCTCCGATTTTGGCTGGTTTGTACGTATTAGACGAAGTTCACGTCAGCCTGTGACGCAAATAAGCCAGATCCTTTGTATATTTTACAAAAAGTTTGGTTTCGACAAAGTCTATAATGATTTGGAAAGAAAAAGTGGTTAAAATGAATTCATTTATTTGATTTAGATAAAGGTAGTTTGCGAGATTAGCATTCATTCTTGAATCGAGTAGGGTGAAGAAAGACTGATAGTAAAGTTTTCCCACAATCACGTGAGTAAACCTTACGTTTACATTGAACCTCACATGCCTCTGCAAAGGTTAGGGTGCACTCCCAGCGGGACTCGAATCCGGGTCGCGCTAGAGTCCAGACTGCTCATGGATCGCTTGGCAGATGTGGATTTGAATGAGAGCATTTTAAGAAATTGTGCAACCTACTCATAAGAGAAACGAAAGAGAGCATTATTCGGCCTGATCCAGTGCATTTCAATTATACACGATTTATTCACCCTGCATTGGGATACCTTGTGGAAAGCAAATCTGTGTGAAATTCACATCATTGTGGGATAAATCCAACTACCAATCCTTCATCTTCTTGTGCGTGAATTGGTCTCATCGCAAGCCTAATGATGCTCGATCAAGTCGTAATGTCTTTGTGAGCGAGACCTGCCGAACCATTCAGAAGACATAATCAGAACGTAGATCTGTGAACCCAAAACTGTGAATTCACTGAACATGTGGCAGATACAAAACGACCAATCTTCTGGTTACGAATTCTTTGCATCTAAGTCTGGACTTAGAGAGTATATAGAAATAGGTAGAGTATAGGAAAGTGAGCGCAAATTAAGCCGACGAATGTATAGACTCAAGGAGAAATAGAACGGGAGAGTGGGCAAGAGTCAGAGATTGGAATAGCCTTCCAGAATGATACGATCATGCCTCACGCTTGTACTGGATTGCACATGGTCTTGCTTCCTAACTGGTTTCTCGTTCTAGCTGGGTTCGAGTCCCGCCAGGTTCGGGACATTCAGGCGATGCTGAAACAGCAATCCTCTTCTGCCAGAATTGGAATGCATTTTGCTAAAAAGGACTGTGCGAAATTCAATGGAAGCACATAATTTCGGGAAAATTCAACCAACATTGCACCTCAAAATTATATGAGCTTATACAAAAATATTCCACTTCACATGTTGTGCATACAAACAACAACACAATACGACATGCTCTAGAGGATAGCAGTCTAGTTTATTCACGTAAGAAAGTAGCTGTCAACAATTGCGCTTCCTTTTATGGAATCAACTGCATTCATATGCAAGGTTAACATGAAGCAACCAACCGAATCATGTGATTCTTCATAACAATCACAAAAGTTGGTCTAAAAGTGG